TCTGCTTCCTGGAGCCAGCCGCTTTCTGCATTGTGGGGAATGAAATCTGTCTTTGAAACCAAGTATGTATGCTTTACCTCAGTGTTTCTCGTCCTTGGCAGCTTTAAGATGTGTGGACTTCAGTTTCCATAATTCCCCAACCCAATATACTAGGAGCTGAAGTCCACAAAGTTGCCAAGGTTAAGAAACAATACTCCTATATGTTGATTTAACTGTCTTGAATGGGCAGGGCATTAACTGGGCAAAATTTTAATATTTAAAACCTTTTGGTTTTGAAGACTCTAATATTCAGATTCTTTAAAGTAACCAAGACATGTAATACTTTTTTCTATTAGTTCCTGACTTAGTTATTGTGTATCGTTTATGCAAAGAGCCATGCTGGCACAGGGGTTAGAATGCAGTATTGCAGGCAGATTCTGCCCACAGCCAGGAGTTTGATCCTGTCTGGCTCAAAGTTGATTCAGCCTTCCATCCTCTGACCCAGATTGTTGAGGGCAATATGCTGACCCTGTACAGACAATGCTATAATTCACTATAGAGGGATATATACTGTAAGTCTAAGTGCTATTGATATTAAAGATGTATTAAAATATGCTAGATCAGATCCCCAATCCCCCGTCCATGGACCGGTACCGGGCCGCAGCATGCCAGCAACCAGTCCACAAAAACAAGCAAAGCCCATCCGTGGGATGCAGGCAGCATACAAAACCATGCATTCTCTGGTCCGTGGAAAAACCTCTCTCCACGGAACTGGTCCCTGGTGCCCAAAAAGTTGGGGACCTCTGTGCTAGATAAAAGCACAGATTTTTGAGTGAAAGCTTTGTTCTTTGAGGTTGGCTGATGATGTGCTTTTTCTTCACAGGCATTCCTTCACGGATGACCATTATGTTGAGTTCAGTAAGCATTCTCAAGATAGGGTCATTGGCACCAAAGGGGATATTGCCCATGTAAGTATTGGTTGTTGAATCTCAGAAGAAATACAGGGTTACTTACAGGCCACAGCCATTTTTAATAGACAGCACTTGAAAATACAGAGAGTGAAGTTATTCCTGAGAATTTATTTAATGGTTTGAAACCATTAAAATGAGATTGGTGGTATATAAATTTAATTAAAAAAACCTAGGCTTTTGTCAATAAAACGAGCTGTTTAACAAACAGAAAAGTGGTGTTGAATGAAAACTATATTGATTAAGTATACTTTGGCATTATTTGAGAGAATTAGAAATGAGCTCAGAAGTGATCCAAAAATCAAACATGTTTTGTGGGATTAGATTAGGTATTCTTCAATATCAAAATGTGCAATATATTTTTCTCCAAGGCACAACCCTTCTAGTTTTGAGCATCTGTAATTATAGCCCTAATAATTCATGAGAAAGGCTGTTTTCTGGAACATATGCTGAAATTCATTCTTGAGGATTTATTCCTTAAAAAGCAAACTGGTTATACATCAGCAAATGTTTCCTAGTTGTAAAATAAATTACTGGAAGTTTTCAAGGTAGAAACTATAGAATTTAGGTTTTTTTTTTTAAATGATAGCAATTTAACTTAGGAAAAATAAAGATGAATGTTGAATCCAGTGTTTTGTGTGGAAAATTCTACTCAAAGGATACTCTCAGTAGAGGAAGGAAGGCAGGATTTGAGTGGAACATGATAACTGTAAATTTTGCGAATTTTCTTTCTCTTTTAAAAGGAGGAGATGACATAGTTGCACTGCAAGAGAAAAGGAAGAGTTAGCGAAAGCCATGGTCCCATTGCTGCAGTTGTGTGTCACTGCTAGCTGTCAAACAACTGATTGGCATGCTAGGCATTGTGGCTTAGCATTGCTCTCAATTTTCTCACAAAATTCCAGAAATTGTAACAGTTGTTTCTTGTGACCTGGTACAAGTCCAGCTCTAGCACATGCTGCATATATCTGTTTAAATCTTGGCACTTTTCCTTATGCTTTTATTCCTGCATGTTTACATTTAAGCAAGATGTTTTTCTCTGTTGATTTGCTATTCTTTCTGTTAGCCTTCAACTATAATCTGATCTGGGTTCATAATTTGGTCATTTGTGACAAGCTAAAATGTTTATTCTGAGCTTCAGCAAAGTGCAAGTGGCAGCTAAGAATCCTGGATGTAATCTATTCTGACAAAAAAGGTAAAAGTAATAGACGCTCAGAATATAAAAGAATAGATTACTTTATACAAACAATTTTAAGAGAAGGGAATAAGACTGTTAAATGTTCTTGAGTATTTATAACAGAATGTTATCTTCTTCCTTTTTGTTTTACAAATCTTTTCCACCATGTATTATATTGGGCATTATTATGTAACCCACTGCCTCTAAGATCAGCTAGAATAGCAAGCCACATATTCTAGTATCAAATCATAGTTTTCAATCCAGCAGCTTTGCTTCTTGTCATAGAATATTCTGTGGCAGAGGAATGACTCTAGGAGAAGTGAGCAACTGCCATGCTTCCCTCCCGAGTTATTAAGTGACAAGTAAAGTTCCGTTCTAGCCAAACATTTCCCTTAATCATTTGGAGATGGAGATCAAAGGATTTCTGAGGTTTGCATGTGACACAAAATGGTCTGAGGTATTTAAATAAATAAAATAAATAAATAAAATTCAAAACTAATTTGATGGTTAGATCAGTGTTTCTTTGCCTCAACAAGTTTAAGATGTACGGGCTTCAACTCCCGAGTTCTCCAGCCAGCATGAGGAGAAGAAGGGAGATGGGGATCCATAGAGAGTGAGTGATTTGGAAATGGTTGCGTGTGCTTTTTGGACAAAATATTTGACAGGTCTTGACTAAGTTATTTTCTTTTTCCTTTTTCATCTAAAAGATCTATGATATTCAGACTGGCAACAAGCTCTTGACTTTGTTTAACCCAGATCTTGCAAACAACTACAAGAAGAATTCTGCCACCTTTAACCCAACAGATGACCTTGTCTTAAACGATGGTGTCCTCTGGGATGTTCGCTCTGCACAGGCTATTCATAAATTTGATAAATTCAATATGACCATCAGTGGTGTTTTCCACCCAAATGGATTGGAGGTCATAGTGAACACAGAAATTGTATCCTTTTTTAACCTTAATTTCAGTGTCTGTTGGAATAGTAGAGGTTGGTAGGAAGAGTTTGCTTAATTGTTTGTTTATTTAATTTCAAGATTTATAATAAGGTCATGCAACTTAAACAGTGTGACTCTCAGCAGCACATAAGATAAACCCAATATGGCATCACCTTTCATGTAGGACCTCAGAACAAAATTCTTTAATTGTGGAGGTAACATCAGGTTGATAAGCTTTTTTGTCAAAGTGACTAAGACTAAATATTTCAGCAGAGGATATAAATAGTATTGTTCTGTAGAACAGAAATTAACAAACTGCAGGCAGGTTTCTAAGAGTAGCTTTTTAAGAGATGGGTGGCTACACAAATTTGATTAATAAATAAGGTAAGAAAATTGGGGGAAATATGAGAAAAGCATGATGGAAGGAGAGATGGAAGCCATTTAGAAAATAACGGCTTCTGCCAAGTGATAAGGAATATGGTGTGAATTGGAGAAGAAGCCAGAATAGGGTAGAATAGCAGAAACAAGAGAAAACCCAGCACATTAATGAATCCAGATTTCTGGAAAGAAAAAACCTTTTTTATCCTGATAGGATAAAAAGGTATGGCTGAAGAGAAAAAGGAATGGTAGAAAAACAGTAGAGTTATAAAATATCCTTTTGGGGTTTCCTTTGACTAAAATATTTTTCAGTTGTTCAAATATAATTGAACCGTAACTTTGTGTAGTAGAATTATTATATCAATGGTTGTAATTACAGTATATTTTTAACGTTCTCTAACATAACTTTTGCCTTTATTATGACAAAAGTGAGAGCTATTATGACTCTCCTGACTTTAGAGTCTAAACCTTATCTACAGGCATGTAGCTCCTACCATGTGATCTATGGTAGAAAAAAAGTGCTTTACCCCAACATCAGTATCTGTAATATTCTGTACATGAGAAATTAATGCAAGGTCAATTCAAAACTTTAAGTGATTTTGCACGCTGAAATGAAATGGGATGGGTAGATTGAAAAGTATTACTTTGTGACTAGGATGTATCATGCAAATTGAAGAAAATAGATTTGTTAGATTATTCAGATGTGTTATTATAATTATTAGAGAAACACTGTCTCAGGGCTGGGAATATGATGGGGTTAATAAGGCTGTCATTAGAGAGAGAGAGAGAGAGAGAGATCCTTTGCTGATATTCCTTATGTATGGTGCAGAATTCTCCTTAATGAACTCTCCAGTGGGACTTGCGGACTTTCCACTTGTTACATACAGTGCCTGCTCTGGATCAATGCCGTGTTGTTTTCAACCATACTGGGACAGTTATGTATGGAGGTAATGACTGATTTTCATCATGTGTTAGCATCAGCAGAGCTATAGATTTTGTTTTGCCATGCTTTCTAGGACTCCCCCAAACAGCACAGTCGGTGTTGCCAAGATTAGGCAAGTGAAAACACTTAAAAAAATTCTTGAGTTGGCAGTAGACTTCAGAAGAGGCTGAGGTCTTAGCTCATTTTTGACTTCTAAAGATCTTGGTTCAATCTCTGGCATTTTCACCTAGGATTGGGAAAGGTTGTAATCCGAAGAGTTGGAGAGCAATTGTCAGTCAGAGTCAGGCCTTTTGGCTTAAGGGAGAAGATTTCTGATTCATTAGAGCAATTCTCTATGTTCCTGTACATATTAACATAAAAAGTACCCTGCTGATTGGACTCCTGGCCTCTCTTGGCCAGCAGTCTGTTCTCACAATGGCCAACCAACTGCATAAGGAGGGTTTATATGGACTTCTCTGGAAACTTGCTTGATATTTTCCCTTACTTTTTTTAAGGTGCCTTTTTCTCCATGTTTAGCTTTGTTGCTCTATTTCAGTGGTTCTCAACCTGTGGGTCGGGACCCCATTTGGGGTCGATCGACCATTTCATGGGGGTCGCCAAGCAAGGCTGTCCGCCATTTTTTTTGTCTGCCATATTTTTTGTCTGCCATATTTTTTCCACTTTTCCAGCGGGTGCCTTACCTCCCTTGGGCTGGCCCAGCTGGTGGTCGGCCTGCTCCGTCTCTGCCGCTTGCCAGCTACGCCTCGGCCGGCGCAGGGGGCGGAACCACGCATGCGCGGCACTCCCGGGCAGGGAAAGTCCTCGACTTACGACTGGTTGGGTAGTCCTCGACTTACGACCGGTTTAGTCCTCAACGTATGCCCGGTTTAGTCCTCAACCTACGACCGGTTTAGTCCTCGACTTACGACCGGTTGGGATCGCGGCATTAAAAAGGTTGAGAACCACTGCTCTATTTTATTTATTTATTTATTTATTTATTATTTCAATTTATATCCCGCCCTTCTCCCGAAGGACTCAGGTATTTGGTGTTCTTTGAATCTTAGACAAAATGAATCATAACTTACTAGCAGGGAATTTAAAATTTTTAACCTAAAGTATATTACAGTTGTATGGCTCTGTATTTTCTGATTGTTTGATAATCTTATTCAATTCTAGGAGCAAATATGTATTTAAAAACAAAAAAGATTCATTTAAACTTCTAAAGCTTCTTTGTTTCTTACGCTTCCTCTCCTTATATTTCCTAAACGTATTTTCTTTCTTGATCAGCTATGCTACAAGCAGATGATGAAGATGATCTGCTGGAAGAAAAAATGCGAAGTCCTTTTGGGTCATCCTTCAGGACATTCAATGCAACAGACTACAAACCAATTGGTAAAGATTATAATTATTCCTACAGAAGTAAGCTGGGTGAAATTATTATTTCAGTTGCTCTGCTAAGAAACAATACCTCCATTTCCTATCATGGTATCTACCGGAATGTAAATTTGGTTAAACATCGAAAAGGGATTTTTCTTCAAAAATAGAGAAAGAAAATATAGGGGGAACGAAATGCCAAATATATATTTTTAAAAAAAATCTCAAAATTTGTTCAGAGTTAAGAACAGTAAAGGTATATTTCCAAGACCAAATAATTCAAAGAAATCATAACAAGTGGAAGGGAAATATCTTATGTTTCCTTTCCTTTCATACTACATGGGAAAAATTAAAGCATTACCTTTTTACTGGTGATATGTACTACTTGAGGCAAAGTGCAGAGCATCAGTTCAGAATCTGTTCAAAATTTGTTAGTAGAGGCATCAAAATATTACTTAATAATAGTATGTGAATATCTCCCTCCCACATGCTCTTGAAATAAAATGTGGGGGAATTAGAACGTTGTGTCATCATGAGTTAGAGACTGACTTTCAAGCTGCATGTGATTCCTCTGGCCTCCATTTTGCTATTCCAGAGTACTTCTAGATCCTGATTAAATTCATTACTGTTTTTTTAAATATTTGGTCTGCCCCCCTAAATCTTTGTACATTTTGAACTCTATAGTTAAAAAAGGAAGGGGAGCCAAAACTTTTTTTTTCTCTTCCTTCACCATTTCTCCTGTTAGTAATTTGATTGTATGATCAGAGACATGCGTTCTATTGTCTTCAGAGGCTAAAAAAAGAAAAAAGAAGAAGCTATTGTAGATCCCCAGCTGAAAATATTGCATCTTGGTGCATTTCAGATAATTTCAGAGCTGTATGTGTAAAAATATCTTTTTGATATATGTCTTATAAATTGCAGCAAGGAATTGCCTTTTCTACTCTACACCACCATTTTATCTTTTCTGTTTCTCTTCACCAGGCCATCCTTTTGTGTGGAGGTCGGCCTTGGGGTTATAGATGTACAGTAGATAACATACCTAAAGTCAGATCTCACAAGCCTAAAGTCTACTTACCCAGCTCTGGGACTTTCCAGAGTCCTGTTGACTTCGTTATATGTGTTTTTTTTCCAGCCACCATTGATGTGAAAAGAAACATCTTTGATCTATGTACGGACACAAAGGATTGTTATTTAGCTGTTATCGAGGTAAATGTTATTCCTTGTGACCCTTCCTTCCTTCCTTAATAGCTTTGACTGAAAAATTAATTTACTAGTGCTGATGATTCCTTTTGTAGAACCAAGGAAGTATGGATGCCATGAACATGGATACCGTTTGCAGGCTTTATGAAGTGGGCAGGCAGCGTTTGGCAGAAGATGAGGAGGATGAGGAAGAAGATCAGGTGAGAAGCAGAATACCCTTTTGGAAGTTAAAGACTCACTTATCTAGCTGAAACATTTGAAAAGCTCTTCTGTGTTATCAGGACACCCATCCCACACCACAGCTATTATGCCTTGAGTTCTGACCAGTGCCTTGTTTCTGGTGACAGGCTGTTAGAAACTTTTGACTTATTGAGTGCTTAATTACGCAGCTGTGTAATTAAACTGGTCAGTCAGTACATCTAATGAGGCAGCTAGGCTTATAATTCTGTCCAGGATGTGAAGAAGACAAGATGTCTTCTTATGGTGATTTGTGGAATTTCTTGGTATTCTTCCAGTGCTTTTGCTCCTTGGCCATGGAGGCTAAGTAGGAGGAATGATGCAAACTTGCTTAAAGATTCTGCTGTTTCTTGGTTTCCATTGTTTTGCTGACATGCCTGTAGTTAGCCATTCTGAAAATGATGATTACTCCTTGTGCTTAGGGCTGCAGAAGAGAACATACACAGTTGAGGTATATGCTCAGCTGCCGCCTTTGATGCATTTTGGTGTCACATTTTTTGTTGGATGAACTGGGTTTGTGACTTATATGGAGAATGATTTTTTTATTATGATTATTTCAGCAGAAATATTGGTGTTTATACAGATAAATTGTCCCGGCAGAGTTTAAGAGAATAAAACAAGGAAATGGCTTTGCAATTAGATTTTCTGATTTGTCTATTAGGGTAGATTCATTAGGCAGGACTTCACTAATTTAATCTTTTTTAAAACTTATTTTTATTCTTTGCCATTGGCATGTCATTTAGTTTTTTGTAGGTGCTGAATGTGATCCAGGCCTAATAACAAGCACTAAAGTTTTCATTGCTAATTGTTTTATTACTCCATCTGTTAATGAAGTTCAGTGTTTTCTTTAGGCAGCAGGCTCCTTTCTCAACATGTTAATATATTTTTTTCTGTTTTCTGAAAGGCAGGGACATTGGTTTTGCTTTTAAAAATCCTTAACACATATTCCGTATCTTTTCCTGGAATGCTGTGTTGCTATAAAAGGTTGGGATAAGTTCTGGGCTTAGGCTGGCCCTCCTGGTGATACACATTTCTGTTTTAGTGTTTGCTTTTCTGACAATATTTTCATCCCCTCCAAGGATAATGGAGGGTGAGTTGCAGTGCATAGTCAATCTTAGAGATGGATACTGATTTGCCCTTCTGTATAAAATGCTTTCAGCATTTGCAAGGGCTACATTTCTGAAGAGTGGAGCCAAAATTAGAAATGGGACCAAAAATGTTTTTTAAATAGAAACACAGAATGATTCCTTGGGACTTTTAGGGAAAGCTTTTATAAGAATAGTTGCAGTTTTGGTAGGTCTCTCCTGTTGCTCTGTAATGACTTTTAAACCTTTTACATTTCGGTTACGTAAGATTTCAGAAGACAAAAGCGTAACTGTTTCAAATCTTTGTAAATACACATCGTAAAGGCATGTTGAGATTGCATAACTAAGCTAAACTGGTTCAATGCGTAGTGAGGTTATCGTCCCTCGCCCAGCTCTTTCTGTCCTCTCATCATAGGTTTGATCCTGCAACTTGTACCAGTCGTTGTGTTTGGGTTTCCTAATTGGGCTACCCGGATGAGAAATAGCTATCGGTGCCTCTGCTCTCAGAAAAGTCCTGTTTCTGGATATGCTCACAGTCTTTTACCATTAAATAAACTTGGGGAAGGGTTTTTTTATTGTATTGTAATCCATCCTTTATTAGTATTAGTATAATACTAAATTAGTATTCCTTCCTGAATAGAAATTTGCCAGTATGTAGAATTTCCCCGTCCTGGCTTGTACAGTATCATAGCTGAGTGTGCTGAGAAAGAAAACAGTGCTGTCAAGATTCCAGCTCCATTCCTTTTGTTTGTGCAGAAGGGGCAGAGAGTGTTGTGCAGTGCTGCTTTCATCATTGCCTCCTCCTCCTCTTCCCCTTGGACCACCTCCTGGAGCCCCTTCTGGTGATTGCAGGGTGAAAATATAAGCCTGGCTCAGGGGTAGGCAACCTCGGCTCTTTTATGACTCATGGACTTCAACGCCCAGAATTCCTGAGTCAGCATAGCTGACTCAGGAATTCTGGGAGTTGAAGTCCATGAGTCATAAAAGAGCCGAGGTTGCCTACCCCTGCCAGCAATCTCTGCTGATGGGGTAATAGCTACGTATTTTTTGTGCGATAACTACTTATTTAATAGTGTTGGAAAGCTACTCTGCACTTTACTTCATTCCTATTATGGCACATTGCCCAGCATTGCATACAGCTCAAGGGTCTCAGCTCTTCTTTGAATGTATGTCTGATTCTCTTAGTACGAAGTCAAGACTTCAGTGGCTGAATCACAAAAGTCACTTACGAAACGAGGTGCTTGTATGAAACATCTTCTCCATCCAGTTCTTTCTTTGTAGCGTCACAAATATTTTATGGAACTCTGGTAAAAATGATCAGGAACAAAAAGTCAGGCTGTCTCCTCTAGCCTTACTGCCTTGGTCATTGCAGGATGATTGTTAATGTAAAAAACATGATTAGTTGCGCACCTTTGTTGTAAATATTTAGGCTTTTTTTTACGTGCTTGAATAAAAAGGCAACTAAAACTGTAGAAAGGAAAATCACTTGGGAATGCAAATGTTTGAGAAATCACGTAAATGTAAAGGAATCAAAGTTCCCTTTTGATAGAAAATAAATTATGTCACACACATGCTTTATTTGTTTGTTCTAGCTCATAATAATTTTCACTCAAGGCTGTTAATGCCACTTATTATCAAAACTGGTGGTACATTGCGGAAGGTATAACATGATGAAATTTCATTAGACATCTTGTTCTCCAGCCTGTTTGATTATGGATATGAATTACTTATTGACTGTTAGTGGATCATTTTCCTAAAAAAATAATAATACTGCTTTTCCATAATGCATCCAAAATATTTGCAATATTTTGGATGCATTCCTCTTAGTATTCCAGCCAATCTTATCAGTTATTTTAATCATTAGGGAATATGGCAAATCACAGTTAACTTTAAAGCTCAGATAATAGTCTTTAAGAACTAGCTCTCTGGAGCTCTTTTAAGTACTCCATGCAATTAATTACTATTAAAAAGAGCTATACAAATTTACCATGTCATAAAAAAAATAAAATATAGCGGTATATTCAATACAGCTAGTTAACAATGACAATTGGGAACGGAATTTCTGTTGCTAAGCAACATCACGTGACTGTGCTGCTTATTGATGGAAATTCTGGTACTTCTGATTGCTGTCATTAAGCAAATAACCACAATCATTAAATTAAGGTGTCTTAATTTGCAACCTCCTGCTGGCTTTCCCGTTGACTCTGCTTGTAGGAAGGGTCCCAAACGGCAATCACATGACCGTGGGGACATAACCGACGTTTGTATGAGGACATTTGTAAGTGTGAGGCCCTGTTATAACTACCACTTGTTCATCACCATTGAAGTTCAAATGGTTGCTGAACTAGTTAAACAAAGAACTGTCTTTTCTGATAAATGTTTAATTTCCCCTTAAATACTGTGATTTTTAAATCACGATAAATAGAGAGTGATGTTTATTTTGAAATTCCTTTGATTTCTTTTACTGATAAAAGCTTGGCCTTAGAGCAAACATTGTTTCTCTTGCTCAGAAAAATTGGATGGTACTTTTTAATTAACTGGACTGTTTCTTGATCCAGCTCAGTGTTGTCTATACTCACTGGTAGTGGCTCTCGATTGGCTGTTCACAGGGTCTTTTCTGTTACCAAATTCCTTTTTACCTGAATATATATTGCAGGCAAAGCATGTATTCTAACATGGATCATGTTATTCTCTAATATCTCACACTGAATGAAGACACTGAATGTTACTTATGAAATCCAAACAGGATAAATGTAAGATGCAACATTTGTACTTGTAGATACTAAGTTACTGTTTCAGTAGGCTAAGTTGTACAATGGCAGTAACAATGTTTTATCTCTTCACGCCAATTTTGCATCTATTAAAAATTGTTTGCTGTGTTACATATATTCTGTCTATTCATGTTTTCTGGGTCTACGTTAAGAATCCTAAGCCTATGGTTAAGAAACTTGCTTTCTGTGCGCTGATATGTATAGTCAGGTCTGTATTATATTTGGATGAACCACGAGGAGTTTGAATGCATTTAGAGGCTAAGCCCTAAAGGTAAAAGCAATTGTATCTTATACAGGATCTCTGTGTTATTTAGATGAAAGAATAAATTACCTCAGATTTAAGGTAGGCAATAAAAATTTTGGAAATGGAAATATTCATAAATGGAGCTAAAAGAATGTTAATTTTTACATTTGCACATTCAGAACAATATTTTTGAATAGAATTTGTATTCAGAAAGAGTAAATAGCATTTAAGGCGGAAATCAGCTATGTTTAAACAGAAAGAATATATTTTCAGGGAAAGATAATTTGTTTGCTAGAGGTTAACATAAAACAAGAAGCTAGAGAAAGTTGAATTTTATTTAGAGATAGTTACAGACAGTGGCAGGATTTGGACACGATGTGGAATAGCAGTTTGGGTTTTGGAGCAGAAAGATCTTGATTCTGCTCTACCACAGAAAATCACGTAGCAACAGAAGCTCTTTTGCTAATGACTTTCTTTCGACCCATCTTGTTTCACAGTGTTACATTATGGAGGAAAATAGGAGGGAGCACTACATATACAACTAAGAGCTCCTAAAGAAAAAGGGAGAAATACACCCTGTAAACAAATGTTTCATTTATTGTTACATATGTTCTTAGGTCCATAAAACTATTGCAGCCAGAAGCAGTTGACTGGAAATGTTTTGCTTCTGCGATCAGTTAATTATACTTTATCACTCTCCTGACTTCTTTAACACTATTGTTTGCACTAGTTACACAAACTAATGTTTGGTTTGTCTTCAATTTTGGATATAATAATAAATTGCAATTAGTTAAAGAGAGAGAAAAAAATGATTTTTTTTGTAGTAGTAGGGATAGATTAAAGTACCCATTTTTATATGGTAGAATACTCTGTACCATAAAATATTTAAAAGCAGAGTTTAGATAGGAAAATAATATGATTCTGAATATTTCCCATGTAATATTTAATAGTTAATAATTTCATATTTCATAGTTATTGTCAAAGGTTTGTGCTCCATATATATATTTAACATGGTTTAGTTGCAACTCTCTGTATGTTGTACACCAATTGGCAAATCTGGATTTGCTTCTGTGTAATATTTTAAAAAGTTCCCATGTTCAAGGAGTTCTTCCTAAAAATAAAAGTCCCATATGCGAGAAAGTTAAAAGAAAAAAGAAAAGTAACAGCAGGGGAAAAGATAATTGACACTGATGGACTCAATCAAACCTAAGTTTTTTTTTATTAGATTTCATTTTGGATAGCATAACATAGAAATATGTGATTGTTTAGCAAACATATGCAACAAATTTCAAATCAGGATAATATTAGTGAATTTCATCGAAGTAGGTATTATGTGTTTAAATGTTTTGGTAGAAAATTGGGTCAGAAATGAATGTTCTTGGATGTAAAAATACTGCATTTTTTAAAGATTTCATTAGTGAAATATGTTTTATAGAGTAAGAATGATTGTCTAAAATAGTGCTTATAAAATGGAATATATCTTTAATCATTTAAGACTTGGTTAGAAGAAAGAAAAGTGCATACTTTCTAATATATAGATATTATAGTAGTTGTAGATGTTGCTATAGCAATTGGGATTTTGGGATTTTTTCAGTGCTAAATCAAAACATACAAAACCAGTTGTATCATTCTTTCCTGGATTTAAAAAAGGATTGCCATTCATACAGATAGTCCTCAACTTACTATCATTTTTTAGTGACTGTTCAAAGTTATGATGGTGCTGAAAAAAGTGATATTGGCCAGCCCTCACATTTATGACCAACGTAATGTCCCCATGGCCACATGATCAAAATTTGAGTGCTTGGCAACTGGCATATGTTTACAATGATTGCAGTGTCCCAGAGTCACGTTTTACTATTTGTGACCACCCTAGGGAGCTTCTAACAACCAACGTCAATAGGAGAAACCGGATTTGCTTACACACAGCATGATGCACTTAATGACCAAAGTGATTCACTTAATGATCACAGCGAAAAAGTTGTAAAATCATGACTTATTTAATGATAGCATTGCTTAGCAACAGAAGTTCAGTCCCAATTGTGGCTGTGAGTCAAGAACTGCTGCAATGAATCTGCAAACATTTAAAAGCTTCTATCATTAGTAACAGGGATTACAGCCTTCTGGTTTTTTTCTTAAATACTGAATGTTTAGATACTTTTTATATAAAATAATTAATGGCTGATTTTGAATTCATGATCTCTTTTAAAAATCTGGAGACTGCATGCCCATAATGGGTGAGATAGTATGTACTGTATTTATCATGAGTCATGTTGGTGGTGCAGTGGTTAGAATGCAGTATTGCAGGCTAATTCTGCCTACTGCCAGCAGTTCAATTCTGAGCGGCCCAAGGTTGACTCAGCTTTCCATCCTTCCAAGGGATATTCTGTTTGGTGCTTGGTTGTAGGAAAGCCAAGTACAGCAATGCGAATGCACAGTATTTTGAAAAATATTTGGCCAATTGATTGAGGTGGCTTTTATTATAAATTGTTATTATAAACTGTTATCAGGATATTCAGCAATGTTTTAGTTGGTTGATATAGATATGAGTTTTGATGTATCATTTCTGTCGTAGTTCTTTTACTTTAGACACTTCTTTATTTTATATTAAGATACTATAGTCGATTGTAATATATTATTGTAGCATTTTTATAAAAAATATGCAGCTTTATTGTATTGGTTATAAGTGCATTATAAGTAAAAGAATTATTACCATGACAACTACCTCTGTACTGCATTTGATAGAAACTGGAGAGGGACTTTTCTAAACTCTGTAAATGTCACGCTAGGAAAGTGACATGGAATTATCTCTACTGGTTTGCTCGTTACCCTCTTCGGGTTTTATCATTCTAATGGGACTTCTGTCATGTCTTTTCAGGAGGAGGAGGAACAGGAAGAAGATGATGATGAAGATGAAGATGATACTGATGACTTAGATGAGCTGGACACTGATCAATTGCTGGAGGCTGATCTGGAGGAAGAAGAGAACAATGAGAATGCGGGCGAGGATGGGGAAAACGACTTCTCCCCTTCCGATGACGAGGAAGTGGCCAACCTGCTTGAAGAGGGAGATGGAGAAGATGACGACTCTGATGCAGATGAGGAAGTTGAGCTGATCCTTGGTGATAGTAAGTATACACAAATCTTCTAGAAATGATTTTGATTTTATGTGCTTCGTAGACCGCTCCAGCCGTGAACTAGAATGTGACGATAAGGTAGAAAACATCAAAAATAGCAAATTATGGCAATACCATAACTAACAGAACGAATGTTTGCAATTTGTTTATTTGATGTGATTCAATCAACTAGGGCCAAAAGGATAATAAAATTAAAAAAAAACTGAACTTTTTGTTGAAGGCAAGGAGGGAGCATGCTTTGTGTTCTACCAGGGAAGCACATTCCAGGGATCGGTGGGGATCGGTACTGGCTAATCCTTGTCCCACATGCTTGCTGCAGAAGAGGAACACTCAGCAGGCCTTCTCAAGATGTTCAGAGTCAATCTTAGCAAAGCAGGGCCTAAGATAAGCTAGTGTTGCATCGGGCTAGGCTTTGTGGCTGATCACCAGCACTTTTAATTGCATCCCCTTGTATTAGAACCAATATTACCAGCTTTTAAAAATATTTTTATCCCACCTTTATTATTTTTATAAATAATTCAAGGTGGCAAACGTACCTAGTACACTCCTTCCTCCTCCTCCATCTTTCCTCACAACAACAACCCTGTGAGGTGAGTTGGGCTGAGAGAGTGACTGGCCCAAAGTCACCCAGCAGGCTTTCCTGCCTAAGGCAGAACTAGAACTTCCAGGCTCCTGGTTTTCTAGCCTGGTATCTTAACCGCTGTACAAAATGGGCTCCACCAGAATGCCACAGTATTTGTTGATGAAGAGCAATTCACATTTGGAGGATTTAATCAGAGCTTATCTCATCTCATCTAGACTTAACAGCTTTTAGGTATAGGTTCAGGTTTACCAGGGGTAAATCTCCAGGTTGGCCAAAGGTGGCAAGGTATTATTAAGAGTCTTCAGCAAGCAATGATATTTCACCGTGCACTGGCAGATGTGTCCTTGGCATCTTCATATGGATCTTAAATAACAATAAAGAGTACAAACCATGCAGTGCCCCCATCCTTGCTGATAATTTTTGCTTCTTCTTGGGAAAATGGTATACTTCCATTTGTCCTATTGTTGCATCTTAGCCCAGTCCCTTTTAATTCTGGACTAGAGTAAACTATGTTAAACATCCGATAGAGAGTCTTTAATTTGAACCTGCCAAGGATAGATTCGGGGTTTCAGCCTATCTGCTACTCCATATTATTTTGCATGAAAGGATATATACGACAGCGTGTGTTACCTCTGAAGGTGTTGAAGGGGAAATTCAGTAACACCCTGTATCTGGAATGCCTCAACCTGTGCTTGGAGACCACTGAAGACTGTTTCAGCCATCTTTGCTGTGTTGCTCCTTGTATACATTCCACACTCTTAAGTGAGTATTTCCCTCCTTGGGAAATTGTGGGTTGACCTGAAGTGCAAGGTCTGTGCTTTCTACTAGATCAGTGTTTCTCAACCTTGACAATTTTAAGGCATGTGGACTTCAACTCCCAGAATTCCACAGCCAGCATTGCTGGCTGTGGAATTCTGGAAGTTGAAGTCCACATGCCTTAAAATTGTCAAGGTTGAGAAACACTGTAAACTAGCTGATCAAGCTATAAAAATCTCCTTGAAAGTTGTTAAGCTTTGTTCAGTTGTGCTTTCTGTCAGAAAGTGCAAAGTTTGAAATGAATGGTCTGGTTAGCTATGCCTTGGGTGAAAGATTAATCTTTTTTTAAAAGTTCCTGTAACTCCTACATAATATATTAATCTCTCATTTTGTTTATTGAGTTATTTTGTATTTTTCTTTGGTCATTGACCATAAATCAGTATAACACTAATCGTGATCATAATAATTATTAAAAAGGTAGTAATGTAAATAATAGGCGTTAGAGGAGGAAATGAAATTTTAAAGGCAGGCATGAATGAAATTATGTGGTTAGATAAATTGTCAAAGGGGAAGAAGAATCAAATGTGTATTTTGAGGTATGTGAGAGGAGGAAAAAACCTTCAGCAATTCCCCGTCAGATATGACGTAGCTTTTAATTGCTTTAAGTTGGCCTGGGAATTTCTTGGGTAAATGTTCCATTTTGTATTAGCTTTTTGTTGTTGGATTGAAAAAAAAGTTTTAAGAGGGATGTTGCTGGGGATTTTCCCAGCCTGTTCCACTCTGAGAGCTGCACATACAGGATTTTGCCTTGAAAGTTTTTCCATCCTTCATATAAAACCTCTGGATGGATCACCAAATACTGCCTGAAATGAGATTTGTTGGTATAGCTTTTGAAAGCATCGTGGTATTTTCATGAATCAAAAATGGCACTTTAGAGCATCCTGCTCCATGAAGAAGGCAAACCATAATGATTAATTAACAATTATCAAAACAAAATAATAGTGCCAAATTCTTCATCTTGCAATTGATTGTGTCCTAGAAATAGGACATTTCTAGAGCTTCCAACAGAACCGTAGTATAAAGCAGGGCTGCCCCGGTTGGAAATTCTGGAATGGCAACAGATTGGGGGAAGACCATAGACCAATTTTCCTTTATCTCTTAACAAAAACAAGAAAGCTGTTTAAATTACCGTATTTCATTTGGACCAGGTTCTCTTGCTTTATCAAGCCTTAATAACTTGAGTATCTTTAACAACTAACTGGTCACCTTTGCAGCCGACAGCTCAGATAACTTGGATCTGGAAGACGACATAATCCTGTCTCTGAACGAATGAGGCGCAGTCTTCCCTCTGGGACTTTGGCAGCGGAGAAGCCCCCGACTCGGAAGCCAAGAGAGCCAATCAAGAGGCGAACACCAGGCCACCCTCTCAGCTTCTTCTACTTGGCAGAAATCCAGTCCTTCCAGTTTTGCAGTGGACAGACCTGGGCTCGGGATGGGTCCAGAGTCTTTCTACAGAGACCTTTTGGGTTTGGCCTTTATTTTCTCTGCTTTTTTTTTTTTTTTTTTGGGTCATTATTTTTAGGCCATGACTTCTCCAGGAAGACTTCTGAAGATTTCACAGTATATTTTCTTTGTATAAAGTTCTTTCCTAAAGAACAGAAATAGTTTTATATGAGACAAACAAGCAAAAAAAAAAAGATTAAAAAAAAAAACAGGCAGGTATTAGAAAGAAGGTATGACTTTGTATCCTTCTAAAATTTAATTACCCAAATGGATTTCTGGGAGATTAAAAAATAAATTTAAAAATAACAAAGGGCATTTTTACTGAAGAGTGGGGGGAAAAAACGAATCATGGATTGTGAAACTGTGGACGCGCGATTTTAATTTTGAACATGATTTTTTAATGGAGTTGTTGCTACCTGCTGTGAAAAGATCTTTTTTTTTTTTTTTTGGTCCTGTGCCTCTTGTCCTATCTAAAGCCCTGTGAGGGCCTTGCTGCAGGAGCCTTGGTGGAGGGCTGAAGGCCCAGTTTGGTCTCGTTAAGAACCTGCCATTGCTGGAGATGATGGACTCTGGTTTGTAGGCCTCCCCTCACCTATGCCACCCCTTCCTTCTTTTTGTCATTGGCATTTTTAATTCTCTCTCCCTGTATCCTTCTGCCCTCTGTGAAAATTACAAATTGAAATCCTTTTTCTTTAATGTAAATTGTATTTATTAAAAAAAAATAAAAATAAGATTCAAGTCCTGTCTGTTCATAACTCTGAACTCCTATCGCATCTATTGTCATCTTGTTCCAAGTGAAGATAAGGCAATAAGTTACTTAAAATACAAAATATGGGTTATTTAGATAAATGCTGCCACATTCACAGGAATGTAACTGAAGTACAATGCGGAGTCTTTGAGAAACATTCAAGAGTTGTGCTCTCTGGACTGTTGACTTTTTTAACAAAAGATCACACGATGATTCTCCTGGCAAGAGTTCATGTTCAGTGGAGTTATGGGAGAATTCTGATCTGCAGTTGTGTAGGGCCAATGCCAAGATAATTGGAAACAGAAAAAGTGAACTCTTCTCTTCTAGATATCTATGGAAATTCTCAGTCATCCAGGTCATGGATGGATGGATGGATGGATGGATGGATGGAAGGAAGGAAGGAAGGAAGGAAGGAAGGAAGGACTCGAAACTCTGAAAGAGAAGTCCCAAAGGTATCTTTTTCAGGAGGCAACTGGACTTTGTTTTTCTTGAGACATTTCGCTTCTCATTCAAGAAGCTTCTTCAGCTCTAACTAGATGGTGGGGAATGGAAGGATTTATATTCCTTGCACACAGCTGGTCATTTGCATTAAGAGTCATTGAAGCCATTTGGAGGTTTACCTGTGTCCTCGGTCACCTGGGCAGTGCAAATGTGTGTAGGGCCAAATGGCTTCAACGACTCTCTTAAAGAATGCAAATGACCAGCTGTCTGCTGAAGAAGCTTCTTGGATGAGAAGTGAAACATCTTCAAAGAAAAACAAAGTCCAGTTGCCTCCTGAAAAAAGCACCTTTGGGACATCTCTTGCAGAGTTTTGAGTCCTTCCTTCCATCTTTTCTCTACAGTTATATCTAAAATTATAAGATGATGCAAGTACATAAAGATCTATATAGAGGTTGGAGCTGTTGGCTTCTTACATCCAGTCTCTGATGCACTTACATTATAATATCTTTACAAAATTTTGCAGTAGTTCTGTAGTGTAGATAAGCATTTATCTTCCACTTTGAAGGTAAGAAGCCAAAGCTGAGCAGAGCTTACAGCTCATTCTTAGATATTGTTCCAGCCCAGCCTTTTTGAATTAAAAACTTTGAATTTAGTATGTACTGAGGCTTAACCTATGAATAGCACATTTCTCCTAGCTTGTTCCAAAACCTTTTCTTTTAATAAATGAAATTCTTAACTGATTCTGTTTAAAATTGCATTATGAACACATTTGTTCAATTGACTAGTACTAGAGTTGGAAAGCTTGCTGGCTTTTTCTCAGCCAGACATGGGCTTAACTTGGCTTGTTCCAGCAAAATGCATTTTAGATGACTGCCTTAATTTTTTTCTTTGGCCAAGAGTGGTGCCCCTCCAGTTCCTTTCTTAACAGCTGATAAATATGAGTTGTATTAATATACACCATTAGTCAATGAAGTGTTCAAATTAGCTTAGATGATAATCATGTTCGGTTTAACAAATTAAGATATAGGCAACTTGCTCATCTCAGTTATATAACTGATCCAAACCTTTCTAAACTTGCCAAATAAAAATATAAACAATGTGATTAGACTAAATCATATTGTGCATTACAATGAAATCTCTAAGGTTTATTTTCTACCTACCTCCATGGTTTAAAAAGTGTTGCTTTATATAAGCCGCTACACCACCACATAGTAAACAAGAAATGCAATTTGTTAGGAAGAATTAATAGAATGATTTGTGGCGTTATACTAGCATGTTCCTTATTCATCATTTAGTGTTTGCTCATAGAAGAATCTTAATTACAAGTTGCAGATAAATGGTCAGTTTTGTAAAAATGAAGATATAGGTTGGATGACAAAGCTGCAGATATTATTGTATGCTAAATGCAACAAAATATTTGCAATTAAGACAACCCCCAACTCCTAAAAGCAGAGCAAAAACGTCTTAGAGCTGTTTGTATTTTAAAAATATTTGTTCACAGCCTAACCAGACTTTGTTCAACGTTCACCTAATTAGAGCAGATTTACAATAAATGTAATGTACAGTATGGTGATAAAAATGCCAGTTTGAGGTAAACAAAATTGTGGAATACTTTACAAAATTGAGATGGATTATTGTACATCTTCATTCCTATTTAGTTTCCTTCGTGGCTTCTAGTCATTGTTGATTCCTGGTAACTGGACTAAAGTCCCTGTACTTTTCTTAGCAAGGTTTTTCTCATGTGGTTTTGCCAATGCCTGACAGGCCCAAGGTCAAGGAGCACTTAAGTTTTCCCAGTTTTTAGCCCAATGCCTCTTTACTTTCTACTCAGCTTATGTCCCAGGATCAGGTAGTCTCAGGTTTGTTAAATAATTGCTCATATGGTTTCATATCAATAGTACAGGGATTGAAGCATAGAAGCCCAAGTAAATGAATAGACACTTCATTTTATGTAGATTTTAAAAAATAAAAATATGGGTTTAAAAATTTACCTCATGATAATTATTATTACTATTATTATTTGTATGGCTGCCCAACTCTGGGTGGCTCACAACATAATATACAAAATATACATGTAAATATTTGGAAATAGCAGAAAACAGTTACTACTACCACTTAAGGTTAAAATATAATTTGCATAGTTTTTAGATACCATTTTTTTCAGAATTGATTAAAAAACTTTTCTTTAAAGTCTATTTGCAACACCTTTTATGATTTTCAATGGTTGTGAGACAGAGACCTTTCATTAAAATTATTTGCTCATTGATAGAAGATAAGAGTGATTTGCTCATGCTAATGGAGTGAGTATCCTGTTTACAGCAACATAAGATAAATTACCCTCAACACCATTTAGCAACTTCTATGTAATAAATTACTGTAGTACTTGAAATATTCAGGAATATCACCACTGTAAAATTGCATGTTGATATATTCTCATTAACACGTGTTTGCACATTTTAAAGAATTAGCAATTTAGACACAAATGCTTTGACATAGACAATACCAAAAACCTTTAGAACAATATTTACATTAGACAAATCTGTTTTTTTTCTATCTAATGTTATAAATTACAACTCAAGAGAATTTTCAACCAATGTTTTGTAGTCTTAGCACATCTAGTTTGAAGGAGTCTTGATCTCAGTTCCAAACTAGCCATTTGAATAGAAACTTAAGATTTTGAGGTGTGAAAATGCTCTTTCTGAGCAAAATCATGACGTTCTTACATTGAAAGCATTCCTTAAATGAATTGGGAAAGAGTGGGAACAGATGGCACAAAATAAGAGCATCTGCCCTTAGTGTACTTGCTACTCTGTGATTCATATATCTGCTTAACCATCTACAAACCTTTCTTCCATCTACCTTCCCATTCTTTTGGAAAAGTTTCAAATTTCTTGAGAAGTGAACTGCAACAGTGAATTCTGGAAAGTAACTGGGTTTACAGCTATTTATTAATTGCGTTAAGTTAGACACAAGGGAGCTAACCTGGCTGTAGAAGGGGGAGGATCTCATTACATGCTTTTTAAAAAGAATATACATGACAGTCCTCACGGGACTACTTCACAAAAGTAGTATATTCCAGCAATAGTTATGTGAACTCATTTGCAATTACAATTTCAAGTCTAAGATAAAATAGATGTATATGCATTACGTACAACATAATTGTCTGCGGTGAAGGGTATAGACAAACTAGATCCTGCATTTGTACAATTGTGATAAGAATGCTCAGAATACATCCAAGTAGCACATACATTTGCCTAACCCCCTTGGATATAAAAAGGGATGCAGTTTAGAATTTGATAGTATTCATATAAGATAGTACAAACACTATAAGCAGGCAATTTGTCAAGTTTTGTCTTTTATTTTTGCTGTATTAACTGATGAAGGAGCTGAACAACACAATCACGTGGATGTTGTTATCAGGTCCTACTCAAGTGCCTGGTTATCTGTCTTCCTGAGAAGCCCATAATTATTACTAGACAGGATATTTAAGAACAGCTTTCAGTTTGCAATATTATAATCAATCCAACAATCAACACAATAAAGAGGAAGGAAAAAAAAAACCCCAAGGTGCCTTATATTTTTTATTGCACCAAGAGTTGCCGAGAATTAACTGAAGCTTTTAAGTTTTACACAGCTGTTCTTTGGCTAAGACCACCTTAAAAGCTTTCATCCACCAGGAAAAGGTTGGTCTGAAGGGTATATGGACTTGTCGTTTAAAAAAAAAAAAGCACTACCTACCTACCACTGAGGAAAGAAGCAACCAGGCTTCAGTTATTGAAGAAATAAAGAGAGCA